GCCTGCTGATCTGAGAGGATGTGGAGCTCAGGTGGTAATATGGTTGCTCGTCTGCTGCTCACGTTCCGCTGTGTGGCCCAGTTCCTAACAAGCCGCAGACCAGTGCTAGTCCATGGCTTGGGGGCTGGGGACTCCTGCCCTAGGAGGCCACCTGAATCCTAGAGAGCCTTGATGGGGGCACATTCCCTTTCTAGTTTCTAGTTTCTCTGTTGTAACAGTGAAAGGATTCATTTAAGTGGCGTCACAATTATGTACCAGGCACTGTGCTGAGCTCAGGAGATCGTAATGAATATATTAAGCCTTGTCCTCCCAAGAACCTTCTAGACTATGACTTTATGTTTCTGGGGTCCTTAGTCTCAGGTTCAGAGTAGGGGCCTTTTTCAATCCTTTGCCATTTGAGGAATTCCCTTCTTTTATCTTTTTTGCCCAATGTAAATCTTTCCCTTTTTTGCTTTCCTTCTTATATACTTCGTCCCTTCCTCACACAAGGCCATTAGTACTGACTTCTCAGGCTCTGCCATGTTGTGGTTCAGAACTGAGGCCCATTCTGGCAAGGTAGATGGTTCATCATGGCTGTTTCAGAGTAATTGAGTTCTTACATGTGCTGGTCAGTGGTACTTAGATCAATGGTCGAGGAAAACCCTATACATGGCATATCCACTGCTCCCCTTCCTCAGGCAGACGGGAGCTTCAGGACCCTCACTGCCTGCCTACGTCAGAAGACAATGGGATTGACATCTAGTAGAATTCTTCTCTTTCTGCTCGCCCTCCCCTTCACCAAACCTTTGACAAAAGTTCTGTTGTTGGAAGAAACTTGGTCCTTCTAAAAGCTTATTTCTTCCCTAAAAGAAGTATTTGGTGACTATAGTCACGTTTAGGGGAAAACTAGAAGTAAGTCTGAGTTTCCTATCAGTTGTGAAAATCTCTCTTTGGGAAAGATGATTTCAGGCAGATCTGGGATTAAGTGGTTAGAAGACAGCCCTGAGAGCCCCTTCCTGAATAAAGCCCTCATGAGGGTACAGAAAGGGTTAACAGGGTTTAGGGCTACTTCAGTTGTTTAAAGCAAATGGCATTTAAGCATTTTCCATCTGTCTTTCAAAGCTTTATTGTTCACTAGCCAGAGTGGTGACATTTGCCTGTATTTGGGGCCTGAGGTGGGAGAACCACTTGAGCCCAGGAGTTTGAGGCTACAGTGATTGGGCCATGGCACTCTAGCCTGAGTGACTTAGGGAAATCTGCTCTCTAAAAAAAAAACAAACCTATAATTGTAGTGACTTCCTAGACAGGGCTGACCTGTTCACTGTTGGAAAAGTAAATACTGTATATGTAATAGTTTAAAAATCTTGGATCTTTCTCCCTAGGACTAGGGAATTTGGAGAGAGTAGGGTGAGGATATCTGAGGGGGAAAAAAGTTGTTCAAAAAAATCAATTCCCAAGGTAATTTCAAGAACCAGGTAACTTCTGCCCTCCCTGGCCAGCTTGAACTTTCAGGTTATCTGCTGTCATGAAACCCTGAAATGTAAGAGAGCTGGGGGAGGCACCATGCTGTGTGATCCTCCTCCAAATACCTCCTCCTTCCACTTATGTACAGAGGGAAGAGTAAAAAGACCTCTCCACGGCCCACTCCGTTCACCATCTTTGCTCCAAAAGTGCCCACCCCGGAAGGACTGGCATCGGAAGCCGTGTCCTCAGTGCACTCAACGCTGCCACCCCTTGTGTCCCAGCCTGGAAGTGCCGACCTGCCTGGTGAGGCCGTGCAGAAGTTCCAGAAGAAGCGGAGGCGGCCACAGCGGAGGCAGCGACTCCGGCAATTCAGCGATCTGTGGGTCCGCATGGAGGAGAGGTCAGGCAGGTAGGTTGAGTCGGGTTGGCATCACCTTTACTCTGGTGAGCAGACCCAGGAATGCCTCTCACACTGGTTGTGATGGGCAAGGGTGAGGTCTTTCTTTTTTGTGAGTTGAACAGAAACAAAGCTATGATTTGTCTGTGAGGATGTGCTGTTTCAAGCCATAGAACATACCCCTAGTGAGTTTAAGACCATGCTCCTTGCTAAGTCAAAGCAACAGATTTTTCTTGAGTGTCTGCCATGTACCAGGACCTGTTTGGGTCATATGGAGGCCAAGGATGACACAGACGTAGTCTCTGCCATGGGCAGAGGGCTTGGTGGGCATGGTGCTGCCTGACCATCTGCTCTTGAAGCCTCTAGGACATGGTCTCCAACCTTTTTGGCACCAGGGACTGATTTCGTGGAAGAAAATTTTTCCACGGATCTGGGAGTGGGGGATGGTTTTGGGATGAAACTCTTCCACCTCATACCGTCATGACACAGATGTAGTTTCCTCATGACCCCATGCACCCTTTTTCTGTCCCCTGTGACCAAAGCGAATCCAGATTTACGGTAGCTGCTTCAAGCCAGGGCAAGGGTAACATGTTTATGCTTGTTAAAGGGCAAGTCTGGGGGTAGGATGAATCTGTTAAAAGTGGAAGGGGTCTGGAAAAGTTGCAAAGAACTTGATTTTTCAGATCTTTCTCCACGGTAGATTCAGGGAGAATGCCATAGATTTGCAGAGCTCGAAGCAGCTCAATAGGAGTGGGTGTGTTTAACCCCCACATTGTAAGGGAAGGCTTGTGACCCTACACTGAAAGTAGTCTCAGAAATGGCTGGGGAGGAGATTGGAGGCAGAGAGACGAGCCTGAGTCTGCAGGGCACAAGACATCTGGAAGAACTGCCCCAGAGAGGCTGGGAGCAGGAATCCAATTAAATTAATCTCAGGCTTATTGAGTCCGTCCTTTGTGCCTCCTGTTGTGTTGGGTACTGTCTGTGTGGGGCCAACCAGACACGGGCCTTGCCATCATGGAACTTGCAGTCTGGTGAGGAAGATGAATTTTTGAGTGGATAATCTGCAATGGAAGTGTAAGGTGCTATGGGTGTGTGTGTGGTGCATACATATGTGTGCGTGTGTGTGTGTGTGTGTGTGTGTGTGTGTGTGTGTGTGTGTGTTGGAGGTTACTACTTAGGGTCAAGGGTCAGGAAAGTCTTCCCTTGAGGAAGCATCCTTTTGGCTTATCCTGAGTAGAAGCCAAACTGGAACCTTGTGAATAGAGCTTCTGAGTCTGAATCACTAGATTTAGAGATCCAGTGCTTACACAGGTGTTTAATAAATGTAGAATGCATGAGTAAATGAGTGAACAACTGAATAGGGAAGGGGAAGGGTTGAGGGCAGAGGTAACAATGTGAAAGCCTGGCTGGAGGGAACGATTGTGTTAAAGAAGCCAAGATAAAGTAATTCTGGCTGGAGCCTGGGAAGTAAAGGAGTAGTGAGGTGAGATGTGTCCAGAGAGGTAAACAGGGAGGGAAGTAGGGACACACTGAAAGGTTTGAAGCAGGCATGTGATATGCTGTGTGATTTGCATTTTAAACAGACAGAAGCTGGCAGCCAGATGGGACCTGGAGAATGCGGACAGCTTCTCATGGTGTTCATGTCCCAGGGTGACTCACGAACCATCCTCCACTGATGCAGGAATAAATGGACCTGTTTAGTACTTTTTCAAACAGGGCCATTTCCTTTAAGGTGGCCACGGAGTTGGGCACTTTATACCTCAGCTGAGCTGAAAGATCTGGGTGAGCCTGAGATCACGGGCCACAACTTGTACTGTCTTGACCCAGTATACCTACATGTTGTGCACATCAGGCCTGGACTTGGGCAGGTGAGAGAGGCAGAGACCCAGGGAGGAATCTGCATGGTCTGGCTCTGCCTCTGTGGTGGCCAGTGAGGAAAGTCCCTGCCTAAGATTGCCCAGAGGCTAATAATTAGCAAACTTTGAATTGGGCCTTATACCAAGACTTTCAATAATCTTTGAATGAAGAACCAAATCGCCAGGGACAGTTTGCCAGTCTGCTGGTCTTAATATCCTCTGCCATTGGGTTTTCTGGTAGCAGTGGCCAAAGGCATGAAAGAGGGCCAGAGATACAGGAAGCCTATTAACATACTAATACCCATTCCTGTCTTTTAGGAGGGAGATGAAGAGAAGCTGTGTGGGCATTTGGGGGCCTTGGAGTGTGCAGTGGTTTCTGCTGTGCTTTCAGACCCTTTCTCTTTGCTTCCTAGTGACATGGTCCCACAACTCCAGGTCCCTGTCCTGGACAGGCACATCTCCACTGAGCTGCGGCTCCCTCGCCATGGGCATTCCCACCACAGCCAGATGGTGGCCAGCAGTGCCTGCCTGTCTCTCTGGACTCCTGTGTTCTGGGTGCTGGTGCTGGCTTTCCAAACAGAGACACCCCTGCTGTAATGACTGGAAGCACCAGGCTAAGACCCTGATCCCTTGGACTTGAAGGATGGCCTTTCCTGTACTCCACACTCTGGTATAGCCTTGATGGGCCCAATCCAGGAGAGACTTCTCCTGAAAAAGAAGCCCAGTGTTGATTCTTCTCTTTCCAAGGAATGTGGCTTCGGGTTATCCAACTTTAGGGGGAGGTGTACAGTTTCGTAACATAATGAGTTGTGTGAAAATAAATTATAAATGAGTTGTATGAAAATAATTAAATACCTTTTTTGTGTGTAGACTTTTATTCATGATGTGTATATATCAGGCAGACAACTTCTTCTCTCACACCCTCTGAATCCTTTCACTCCCTCCCCCGAGGCTCTGCACTTCTCAGCTACAGCTCTGATCCCTTTGGGCCCTGGCTTTGGATCCTGACCCTTCCTTCTTTCTGCTCCCTTTCTTTGTGTCGCTCTTGGTTCTGGATGCAGGGGAGTTGGTAGGGCCATGGAACCTGTGGTCTGTACCTCTCTATTCAAGCTCTGGTGAATAGGGTACTCCCTGTGCCCTGAGAGAAGCGTTCATTTTGTGTAATGTGTGTGTCTCACTGACATGCTGGAGGATGGGTAGGGGAGCGGGGGTAGGCTTTGTCAGAGGTGCTGTGTAAGAAAGTTTTTTTTTTTAATCGACACAAATTGAGCCATTTAAATAAAAAGCTAGTCCAAATAAGGGTCTCATTCTATAAAGATTAAATCATTTCCAAATCACAGTGAAAGAAACATGAGTAATTAACCAATTTTGTTTTCTACTATGTGCCTTGGAGATACCTCACTAAAATTTGGTATCTGACACAACAGAATAACATTTGCAGAATGTAATATGGTAGTGACAGGACTGAGGTTGTTTGTATAGACTATTAAATGGTTACATCTTAATTATTTATATAGAATATTGGTCCAATAACATAAAAATAGAGAACAGCATCTAGAAATTTATCTCATTCAATGTTCAGAGATAAAAGAGTTAACCATCCTAAGAAAGCGGTTTTCATACTGCTCCCAATCCCTATCTTATTTATTATTTACATGTTTGTTGTTAATGTTTTTCCTAAATAAAAATCTTATTGGGACTCTCTCTATAAAATGTGTAAGAGTGAAAATTCCCCAGTTGCATCTGAAATGGGAGCTTTTAACCCTGCCCAGGTGATTTCCCTCCCCTAACCACCAGGGTTCCAGATCAGGGTCCTACCTGTGGCAGGCTTCCTTTATGGTCCTGGGCCTCTGAGTAGCCCACAAAAATTCCGGGCAGAAGGTCTGTCCAGGATTGGGTGCGGCCAATAAGAAGTAGCTGTATTTGTCCTCTGACCTGGTTTAGGGTAAGGCTGATTGCCTGGGTTTGTTGCTCTGGCTTCCTTTCCTTTTCGGAGGCATTTGTGGGTTCATGCTCAGTTATTTCCAGGGCCCAGAACATCTCTGTGGCCTTATTGAAAGAGTGGTGCGATGGCACTCAGGACCCGTGTCCATCACTTTGGTTCCATTCTGCACCACCTGTATTGCAGGTGTAGGTGGGCAAAAACTCCCAAATCCTCTTGCTGCTATGATTAATTCTCCTAATGAGATACACTCATGGGATATTTGGAAAATAAAAGTGAGCAGAGGGTCTTTTTCTTGAGAAGGGGCATGGTTATGTGCAGGCTGCAGCAGACACAAGTTTGTGCGGTGGCCAGTTCTCTGCAGCCCCCTCTTCCCCTGCTTTAGTGTGGAGTAGCTGCAAGCTTGGCACGGTTTTTCCTTCAGGGCTCCCACCCTGGAGTACAGATGCTGTGATGCCTGATACCAGCTCTTTGACTTCTGCAGTGGCAGCCGTTCCTGAAACCATGTTAGTACCTATTTCTGCTTGAAACACCAAGAGTAGTTTCTGATTTGTGCACTGATTTCTGGTAAAAGTGGTGTTCCCTGCTTCTCTGTGACTTGAGTCTGTTCTTAACTTTGATAGGTATGGGGATAAAGTGGGGAGGCAGAGATAAACTGGGAGGGTAGGATCACTCTGGCTGACCCTGTTCCTCCAATTCTTTGTAAGAGGGTGGTGTGGTTCCCATCAAGGGCTCAATCCTAGCTGGGTGATTCCCTTGCTTTTTGGGTCACATTATGGCCAAGGAAGCAGGCAGACCATTACAGGCAGGGCTGACACAAGACGGTTTGTCACAGTGGCTGCTCCATTTTAGAACTGACCCACCAACCTCTGCTTTTGAGGTGGCAGAGGCTCCAGTGCACCTGGCTGGGACTTGGTTAGTTTTCACACAGATTCATACTGAAGTGGAAGGGGAAAATCCTCCATCCTTGGGCAGGACTGGCCTGCCCTCTTGTGAAAGCACAGGCTCTTCCAAGGATTGTGATGTAGCCCCATGGAACAGGGAACTGACATCTCGAGCCGACCTCTTATCCTGCTCCTTTGCCCTACAGTTGTGCCCGCTGCATCAACCTCCCATACACTGGACTCTGAGAGCCTTAATCTAGTCTAGAAATGGAAGCACCCGGGATCTTTTCAATCAGGGTGAAGAGGAAAGAAGCCTGTGTGAGGAAGCGAGTGCTGAGTCCTGACTCCTTCTGGGGGTCCCAGAAGGTAACTGATGGGAAGCTGCCTGGCTCTCACTTAGGGTGGGGGAGCAGGCTTACTAGGTGGGTGCTGAATCTGCTGCCTCTACATAAGAGCTTGGATTGCCGACAGAAAGAACTCAAAACACTTTAAGGTCATAAGAGAAATAAAAGTCATACTTAATACCTTTAAGTCAAATCAGAATTAACACCATTTTGCTCACATAGAAATTATTCAAACCTTTCTCCCCCATTAGGAAAGATGTCTGGCCTGGTTCTTTTTCGGTGCTGAGGTGGCACCTTCTCACTCACTCAGCTGGCAGAGCAAAGCTGATCCCTTGGCAATCCAGTAGTCTTTGGACCGCTTGGAGGGTAAGAGGATGGTTACCACAAAGTTGGTTGAATGCCCTAGTTGAGGATACAGGAAAAAAAGGGTTGTTACTTAGAGAATAGCTTCCACATACACAGAGAGAGGCTACTAAGAGTCAAGACATCTGGGTTACAGGCCTGACTGCCCTAAGGATGTTGGACAAATAGTCCTTTATGGGTCTGTTTTATGCTCTATAAAATGAAGATTTTAGAACAAATAATTCTTTAGGACTCGTCCAGCTTAGACTTCACAGAACTTTTTTTTTTTGAGACAGGGTCTCACTCTATCACCCAGGCTGGAGTGCAGTGGTGTGATCTCAGCTTGCTGCAACCTCTGCCTTCCTGGGTCCAAGTGATTCTCCTACCTTGGCCTCTTGAGTAGCTAGGACTATAGGCGCATATCACCATGCCCGGCTAATTTTTATATTTTTAGTAGAGATGGGGTTTCACCAGTTGGCCAGGCTGGTCTCAAACGGCTAGCCTCAAATACCTGCCTTGGCCTCCCAAAGTGCTGGGATTATAGGCATGAGCCACCACTACCAGCCTAATAATTTATTAAGAACCAGGATTCAAAGGAGTTTCATATCTGGCAACAGTGATGTTTCTCTTAAATCTGTCAATTGGTAGGTTTCCCTCTGCTTCTTTTGCTGCCCCCTTGTAATATATTTGTTGAAACAACCAAACTGTTTGTCCTGCTAAGTTTCCCAGAATCTGGATTTTGATGGCAGCATTGCTGTGGTGATTTTAAATATATTCCTCTCTTCCTTTAATGGGTGGTTAGATCTAGAGGCATGACTACATTCAGGTTTGAGGGTTTTTTTTTTTTTTTTTTGATAGGGTCTCATTGTTTTGTCCAGGCTGGAGTGCAGTGGTGTGATTATGGCTAACTGCAGACTTGAACTTCTCGAATCAAGCGATCCTTCTGCCTCAGTCTCCCAAGCATGCTAATTTTTGTATTTTTTGTAGAGACGGGGTCTCGCCATCTTGCCCAGGCTGGCAGGTTTGAGTTTTAAGAATACTTCTTAGGTCGTATGTACTTCTGTCAGGAAGCACATTGTGTCTGATTGCCTTTCTTTTTTGGAATATTAGTGGCCATTGATGACTACTATATAGGACTACCCCTCCTTTAAATAGCTGAAAAAAGAGTTTCTGCTGATCCTTGTACAAAATGGGGTTTCTGTCACAGTTTCGGATAAGGTTAGGTTGTTGGTCCCCTCTCCTTACTGATTTGTAAGAATTCCTTATGCCAGGCTTCTATAGTTCAGATGTTTGATCCCTCCAAATCTCATGTTCAAGTTGATCCCCAATGTTGGAGATGGGGCTTAATGGAAGGTGTTTGGGTGATGGGGGTCAGATCCCTCATGAGTAGATTAATACTCCTTGGGATGGAGGGGTGAGTTGTCACTTTATTAGTTCTTGTGGGAGCTGCTTGTTAAAGAGTCTGGCGCCTCCCTCCCATCTTGCTTGCTTCCTCTCTCGCCATGGGATTGTTAGACACCAGCTCCCCTTCGCCTTCTGCTATGAGTGGAAACAGCCTGAAGCCCTCAGCAGAGCAAATGCTGGCATCGTGCCTCTTTTATAGCCTGTGGAACCACGAGCCAAATAAACTTTTCTTTAAAGTTACCCAGCCTCAGGTATTCCTTTATAGAAACACAAACAAACCAAGACAGTTGGATTTTTTTTTTTTTTTCAATTGAGATGGGAGTCTCACTAGGTTGCCCAAGCTGGTGTTGAACTCTTGGGCTCAAGTGATCCTCCCACCTCAGCCTCCTAAGTAGCTGTGACTATAGGCACATGATACCACACCCGGCTAGACAGTTGGATTTTTTTCAAAACAGAAGGTCAGTGATGATTAATTTAGAGCCTTTGTGTGTTCCAAACTGTCTCTATTCCCTTCCCTTTGGAAGATGGTTTGGTTGCGTTTTGAATTCTGCTTCAAAGATATTTTCTCTCAACCCTTCGAAGATGGTTCTCCATGATCTTCTTATGTGCACTGTGGATAATGAGAGTTGACTGATGTCAATCTGATTCTTATTCTCTGGGATTTCAGTTCCAGCATATATTATACATTGTCTTTTCTCTTTGGTTGTTTTGAGAATTTTTTCTTTTTTTTTGTCTCTGAGTATCACTTTGGTATGTCTAGGTTTCTTTGAAGATTTGATTATTTGTTGTATGTTGCTAAAAATCATCCCTTCCACTTCGTAAGACCTCATAATCTAAGCATTCAAGTGTTTCTTTAGTTTTGGGAAATTACCAGCCATTATCTTTTTTCAAACATTCTCGCTCCTCCATTCTTTACTTTCTCCTTCCAGGTTGCCTAACTAGAAAAATGTTGCAAATCCTGGCTCCTTCTACAGGGTCACTTCTTTCTCCCTCTCATTGTGCTGTATTCAAGGGGATTTCCCTGGCTCATTTTCTTTGCTCATGCTTCAGCTGTCACCTTGGTGTAAATGTTGAGGTAGCTTTCTTTCTGTCTGGTCTCTTTTTTCAGGGCTGTATATCAGTTTCAGATCCACTCAGTTTTGCATCAGGGCTTTCCATTTATTTGTTTGTTTACTTATTTATGATGGCGTTTTTGCTCTTGTTACCCAGGCTGGACTGCAGTGGCATAATCTTGACTCACTGTAACCTCTGCCTCCAGGTTCAAGCGATTCTCCTGCCTCAGCCACTCCAGTAGCTGGGAATATAGGTGCCTGCAACCAAGCCCGGCTAATTTTTTGTGTTTAGTAGAGACAGAGTTTCACCATGTTGATCAGGCTGGTCTTTAACTCCTGACCTCAGGTGATCCACCTGCCCCAGCCTCCCAAAGTGCTGGGATTACAGGCGTGAGCCACCTTGCCCGGCCTATTCATTTATTTTAAAATCTCTTTCATGGTGAGTAAAAATGGATTTGGTGGAGAAAAGGAGATTTTAGTGTCTATTCAGGCCACCACTTTAAAAATGGAAGTCTCTACTTGTTAAGCTCTATTTTCTACTCGTTAGATTCTAATAGAAGCAAAAATTAATTTATAATATCAATCTACACTCAGAACAAATAGAATTTACAATTACACTTATGAATTTTGTATGTTTTAGATGGCTTCATTTTAAGTCTAGTTAATTGGCCCAAGGGAGATCTTGGGCCAATTACAGCTTAGTGTTTGGACTTGGATTGAAGATTGTATTCGGTCATTATTTGAACTAATCTTAAGACCATCCTCACCTGTGGTTGAGAGTGTCCCTGCCCGGGCCCCTGTTTTATAAAGTGGGGAGTGGTAAAGTGTTGGGCTTGGCTCATAATTTTGTTGTGGTTCAAAATGCACCACAGGCAGCATTGGATTCATCTGTCCGGGCAATGCATCTTCTATCACCATCTCCTTATCATCCCAACGAGAAGCATCCATGAACATCCCATGAACAAGAACACCATCCTCAGGAGAGGGCAACTGAAAGATACCCACAAGTTTCAAAGTGAGAGCGGGAAAGGGAGCAGCAGGTGTGGCTCATTTCCTGTATCCCATATCCTCACTGGGTAATTCTAAACAACACTCTATACATTGCTATTATTATTCACATTTTAGAGAGGGCAATCCTGAGGCTCTGAGAGGCAAAAAATGTAATAATAATGTAATGACTTTTCCCCTTTTCATGGGAAGTGGGTAAGAGGGCTGCGATTATCATCTGTTATTCTTAGCAAGGTTTTTCAAGGATTTGGATGCCCTCCTAGAAGACAGATTATATATCTGCGATAATATTTGCAGAGTGCCTATGGAAAATTCCTTTTTGTTTTCTCTCTTTTTAAAAAATTGTGCTTACTTTTTAATGTTTCTATTAAATAACAAAGAGCGAGAGTGAGAGACCCAGCCCATCAGAGTCCTGTGATTGGATGTCTCTCCTGGTGCACAATTTTTTTTTTGCCAATTGTGGGCATCTGTGTCATCCTTCCTCAAACACTGAGTGGATTTGGCCAGTTCTGGCCCCAGGTCTTTGGATAATTGGAGCCTCACGTCTGTAAGCAGAGGACTAAGCAGTGTGGATAATATGTAGTGCATTTTATAATGAATAAAAGGATGGTAAACTAAATTCTTTTTAGCTGGTCTTTGCTTTTTCGTGTCCTAAACTTTCTGTTTCTTGGGTGCAGCAGGGTGGGCCTTCCTGTTTTTGGGCTGCCACATATGTTTATGCAGGTTTGCCTGAAAGCTATCCTGCTACCTACTGCGTGTCCAGCATCTGGGCATCCACCCACAGGGATCAACTTTTCCTATGCTGCACCAAGGCAACAAATGGGCTGCCAGTGGCCTTGCCTGTTTGTAACAGAGATAGAGCTGTGTTTAGACCAGTACATGCGCTGGTCACATGACATTGGCTATTTCACTTACACCACACTACTGGCCTGTCTCCTGGTCTGTTGGTGGCAGACATTTGCTAGGTGGGTCAGGAGGCAGGCCAGCTAGACAGTCTGAGGTCTCCCCAGATCTCAGAGATTGTAAGGCATTGTCATGGCTCAGCACATATGACCCAAGCAGAGACATGGTATGAAATGAGATGGGGTGGAGGGACAGAGCCCTGGTGGTCACTGTAAACTTCTGTCTGTCAGAATCAGCTTCTGCAGCAGGTGGAGTGTGCTGGGCACAGGCCAGGGCAGCCTCCTGGAAGGCTCTGGTAGGGGCTTTTATGTGGGTGCTGCTTTGCCTTCCTGCAGCCTCAAGTTTTGCTGACATGGGCCTGGGACACCCTCCTCTTAAGACAAGAAGGGTCTTAAAATAATAAGAGGTACAGACATGTTAGCAATTGCTCCAGCACACATAGCTAGTAAAGGTGTCAGAATTCAAACTCAGGCTTGTCTAGTTTTTTCTTTCTCTCTCTCTCTCTTTTTTTTTTTTTTTTTAGTTGGAGTTTTGCTCTTGTTTCTCAGGCTGGAGTGCAATGGTGTGATTTCAGCTCACTGCAACCTTTGCCTCTCAGATTCAAGCGATTCTCCTGCCTCAGCTTCCCCAGTAGCTGGGATTACAGGCATGTGCCACCATGTCCAGCTAATTTGATATTTTTAGTAGAGATGGGGTTTCTCTATGTTGGTCAGGCTGGTCTTGAACTCCCAACCTCAGATGATCCGCCCGCCTTGGCCTCCCAAAGTGCTGGGATTACAGGCATGAGCCACTGCGCCTGGCCTGTTTGTCTAGTTTTTAAACCCTTGCTTTTAACCTCTTGCTATATTGCTTCTGTAAGAGGTAGAAGGTTATTATAGTAGCTAAAAAATATTGCTTTGAAAATATTTCTATAAATCAGACTAGTTTAGGCAGTTCCTATCTGGTCACTGCTAACTGGGGAGCTTATCTTGGAGGTGTGATGGCTACCTTGCTCTCTTGCTCCTGTTAATTGGAGGTGGTGGGGGAGTGGGACATGGGAGGTTGTCTGAAATCTTCAAGGACAGTGGGATAAAGCTGCTTTGCCATTAACAGCCAGGTAGGACAATACCTCCATGTCCATGGGCAGTTCTTGTCCAAATTGCACTGTCTTGGCAGCTTCTATCACTGCAGCTTGATCCCGATAGGTGGGAATTATGTTGTATTTGAAACTCAGCTCATCTATAGGCAAATTGTATTTTCGAGCATGATTTTGAAGAGTTCCTGTAATTATGAAAATCAGAAAGCTGGGTTTAAACAACACTGCTACTCTCCAGGCACTAACCCCCTTCACCCCAACCAGGCTGCCCTGTCATTAGAGAGCCTTCCCACCATAGAGAAGACCCAACTCTTAACACTTTAATCGGAGTGAGTTCATGGGGTCAGGAAGCATGCGGGTCATGTTGGGAGGTAAGGGCCCAAGGGATGGACAAACTCTGGTCCTGGTTGAGAAGGGAGGGAAGAAGGCCAGTCTGCAGTGCACTGCCCTGCCATGTGGGAGACAAACCAGTGAGGCAGTTTCAGAGCCCAATCTCACTAACTTTAGGATTTTGCCCTGTTTGTTTTATATGGGCTGTTTAATAGGTATTAAGAATGAGAGAGGTGCTGTGCGTGGGGGCTCACGCCTGTGATCCCAGCACTTTGGGAGGCCAAGGCGGGTGGATCAGGAGGTCAAGAGATCAAGACCATCCTGGCCAACATGGTGAAACCTTGTCTCTACTAAAAATACAAAAATTAGCTGGGCATGGTGGCGTGCACCTGTAGTCCCAGCTACTTGGGAGGCTGAGGCAGGAGAATCACTTGAACCCAGGAGGTGGAGGTTGCAGTGAGCTGAGATCATACCACTGCACTCCAGCCTGGTGACAGAGCAAGACTCCATCTCCAANAAAAAAAAAAAAAAAAAGAATGACAGAGATGAAGGGCTTGGCTAATTAGCACTGAGTTGCTAACAGGCTCTAGCCCCATCTGAGGCTCTCTAGCCAGCTTCCCCAAGGGCCGATGGAGGCACATAAGAAAATTTCTTAGAGGGAAGGAAGCTGCTCACAGCTGGGGCCTGAGCAGGTGGATAGCACTTGGTGCCCCCGAGAGTGGGTCACATGGGGAACTGAGGCATACTCTGTGTGTTCATGGAGGCAGCAGTGCCTGCACTTATGTAACCTGAGAGGGGCAGGGATTAGATTGCTGGGGAACATCTGCCATTTCTGCCATCTTTCCTCTACCCCCAACAAGTGAGGAAGAGCAGGACCTTGTTGGATTGCCCTAAGATCAATATCCTCACTATTAGAGCATTAGCAGCCATACCATTTCCCCAGTACCTCAAAACCCTGTGTATGACAAGTCATGCCTTTCCTGCGGGGTTTTTCTAGGAAAAGCACTGGTACCTGTTAGAAATCCTTGAGGAAAGAAGAAACCGGAGATCCAGTAGGACTTAGGCTGTCCTCTTTTGAGCCACAACTGAAGGAGAAACATACTCATAATAAATATTATTTCTGGGATAGCATTTGTCTTCTAAAGCAAAGTCCTATTTGGGGAGAGCTTCTCAGGAGGCAGAATCTAAAGCAGCCCTGAGTTAGTCACCGCCCCCACTTCACTGCCTGTCCCGTTCCTCTTCCTGTTCTGCCAGAATGATGACTGCAGACCCAGAGCCTGGTTATTGTGGGATATGTGAGAGGGAGACAGCAGCAAAGTTGTCTGGGGTTTGGACTCATCTCAGTTGGTCTATACCTCACTGTGGGGTCCCATGAACTAGAGCTGAAACCCCAAGGATGCCTGGAATTGAAATGGAATGTGGGGATGAGTGCCTAGGGCAAATCATATAATCAGTGTAAGACTTAAGTGATATCATTCTGGACATTTCTGTTTCTCTGGGCTCAGACTATCCAACAGTGACTGGATACCTTCAGTCAGAGCTTCCTAGGGACCTTATGCCAGCTATGCCATCATATTCATCAAACCCCAGTGAAGGGAATTTTCTTACATCCACAAATGAGGTCCTCAGGATAAGGTCTTTGACCCACGATCCTAGTGGCTTCAGGGATGGGTAGGCTGTGTTGGACCACAGAGCGGGAACCTGGTTGTTGAGGAAACTGTTATATACTTTTTCCATTTCTTCAGACATCACCACCAATCCAGCAATGGCTTTGTTGAGTGTTTCCAGAGAAGTCTGAAAGAACAAAAAAGGGATTTAAGGTGCTGGTGGCCTTCACAGATGTCATTATCTAGTCAATGACACACATTCATGGCAGCAGGGGCTACCTTGCCAGGAGGTGCCACTTGCTGGGTTCTATCCTCTTTGTACACTGTCTGCTGGGCCAGACCCTCCAATATCTCCTGCATTATTACAATATATGACTGTTGCGATGTAGCACTTGAGGGTGGCAGTTGGTAGCAGAATCCAATGCAGTGGAAAGAAGGAAGCAGAAATGTCTCCTGAAGCCTGGAGAAGTGGCTGTGAGACTGTCCAGCACTCCTCGAGGCCGAAAGAAAAATGGGCCCGACTGTGATTTGGGAACCAAAGAGCGTGAGGAAGTGGGGGAGATGGTGAGTGAGAACCACCTCAGGCCACTACTCATTTCTGCTCAGGGGGTTCCCCCAACCCCGAGAGTTAGAGCAGAAAAAAGATATTCTTTTTTTTTTTTTTTTTTTTTTT